AGCAGTGAAACCACAGGGATTGAATCTTGAGAATGTTTTTATAGATTGCTTGAACAAAAAATGTGTATTAATATAAGCCCTAAACCAAAAGAATCTTGAAATTTGAAATGTGTTTTTTACCTATTACCTCTAACACTGATGCTGTAGAGAGAATTCTATTGCTTTGGACAGCCAGTAGTTGCTGAAATAAGGGTAATGAATAACGTCTTTGTTGCTCTTAGTTAAAGCAGTTGGAATATATGAGTTCAGCCAGCAGGAAATAGCTTGCAGTCAGGACCCAAGTTTAGGGAACGTAGTATATACACATGGACGTGCCTCTTCGTGGTTATTGGAAAACTAGTTCTGTGAGTCCGAAACAGGAAAACCAGCTTTTTTGTTTGTTAGCATCACATGAAAGGATTGTTACTAAGTTATCTGCAATGACAGGTGTCCTAAAGGGTACAGTTAGAAAACCTCTAGAACTATAAGAAATATCTCTTAATGAATACCTGTATGTATATTACTTTTTTGTGTGAGATGTTTCATACATTGAAGGAAACTTTTCTTCTGCTCATCCTTTCAACAAGGACAGATCAGCAGTAAAGAACAGTCCATTTTGTTTTGATCTAAATAAGATTATACAGAGATGAAAGTTGTCCAGTTAATTAGAGAAAAGGTTATATTTGTGGATGCATTCTAAGTTCTGGCATGACCTATACAAATTTTTTAATTCTCTGAGTCATTGTGCATTAACTCTGGAAAAATTTGTGATTACTCTGCTACTGAGAGTAAAAGGTAGAAATTTCCTTTTTCCTTTGATGAAATGGACTGGTAAGCACATGTATGTCATTCTAATTAGTCTCTTGAGTTTGACTTAAATGGCATCCTATGTACAGACAGATGAATCAAGGTCATTTCACTTGGGGAGTCTGCCTGTCTTTAGATTCTTCTCTAGAAGATATGAAAAAGACTTTTCCAGTTGTTTTGGTACCACTGTCTATCAATGAGGGAGGCGGAGGCAGCCTGGAACAGTGAAAAGAGCATGGGCTTTGGATTTACACAATACCTAGGGTTTTGAAATCTGGCTTCACCAACTGGTTCTTGAACTTGAATAAGTTACTTAACATTTCTGAGCATTTGTATGTTGGCGATGATAATGCCTGTCCTTCAGAGCTGTAGATAATGATATTATAATTATAATATATCAAAGTGTGCAAAGTGCCTAGTACGTAATATATGCTCCGTAAGTGGTAGCTATTATTACAGTCATACTCTAGGGAGAGTTAGAGTTGCCTCGAGTCATTTTTAGTTTGCGCAGAAACCTCATACAGTGGAGATTTGTGAACATTAATTTAAAAATACTTGAGTGACTACTACGTGCAAGGAACAGTGATTAATACAGAGGAAAATCGGTGGTCATGTCGTTAAATGCAAAGAGCTAGTTAAAGAGTTTTATCTGCAAATAGCTAGTTGACTCTTTCCAAAATGCAAACATCTTATCTCAGAAAAACTATACCCTCAAAAATGAAAATGTAAGAAATAATGAGAAGGGAGCGCTATTAGGGGGATACTATTAAAGAGGTTTTCTTAGAACAGAAGAATTCATAAGCCTCACCCTATGTTACTCCTTTATACAAAATCTTCTTTCGAGGATGACACCTGCACATAGAGCTCAGCAGGGCAGGATAACACTGTTATCAGCAGAAGTTTCGGCTTCAGACCCTGTTGAAGAAATAGTTAGCGAGGACCAAGGATAGATCTTACCTTTCCAGGTGCATGAAAAAGGACCAGACCTTCTAATAAGACACAGTAGATGGAGAAAATGTGGCCCAGTCAGTGTCTCTGGATTTAATAAATTATAACAAGTCTTCCATTTCCTTGAGGGTGGAGTTGAAAGCCAAGATTCTAATTAAACTTTGTGAGGAGAATGAAGATCTGGGAAGGGAGAGAGGAGACTTCAGTGTCTGTGTCTTAGAGAACAGTACATAATTAAGCATGATCTTTAAAAATTATTAAGCTCATTGGAATAAGTTTCTGAAATATTCTGATTTTTGAAAAGTTTGCTATTTGATTTTTGGGCAGTTGGTATTTTGGCCACAAAATGGCTAGAATACTTTAGGAATGGATTGCAACATATATTTTATTTAAATTTTGTCCATCCATGAAAATTAAAATTGTTTATGCTCTATAAATATGTAAAAACTATCTACTGATAAAGTTTACTTTGAATTTCTTTAAACCATATCACTTTTATATATCTTGCATCTTAGGAATCTGAATATCTAGAACAAAAACCTAAATGAAATCAAATTTGCACATGTCCAAACAATTCTGTGGACTAAATCCCTTCTGTGAACAAGCTCTAAACCTTAATGATAGGAATTAGTAGGTTATATTTTAATTTTAGCCTTAAGGATAAAAATTGCTATAAGAGTGTATATTAGAGAACATTTTTAAGAGTATGACAAGGAAAAGACTGGTTACAGATGTCCGAAAAATATTATCAGTAGTTATTTCTGGGTGATAGGATTATGACTGCTTTTAATCGTCTATTACTATGTGTTTTGGATTCGAGAAAATGGGCGAGCGTGGCTTCTATAATTAGGAAAAAACATGTCAATAGATATTAAATACATGTTGTAGGAAATGGATATGAATAAGACATATAATCCCCGCTTTTAAGTGGGATGGGGCCGGAGTCAGACATGTAGGTAATAGTAACTTACATGTACTATAATGCGGGGTATTTCCTCCCCTCAAATAACTGTATCAATAAAAACCCATGTGATTGTCATTCAGTGTGGAGTTACAAACTTTAGGTGAGAGAGAAAATACTTTTGAGAACATCGAACAGAAGAGAGGAAATATGAATCGTTTGAAATGATGAGTTCACTAGGGAAGTGGAAAGGAATAGAATTTAGGAAGAGGAAGTCAGCATATGCAGAGATTGGACAGGTTGACACATTCAGTCTACCAGAGAGCTGCTGGTGGGGTACATGGGCGAAGCATAGGGTAAAGAGCGGTGAGAGGTGAGGCTGGAGAGGTAAGCAAATGCCCGATCGTGGCGGATCCTTCTTGTACCATGCTAAGGAATTTGGAATTGTGACTGCGCAGTCAAGAGTCCATCTGAGGTTTTAAGTAGAAACATGACTTGAGGTTTGCCTTTTCAAAATGTCAGTGTAGAGGCAGCGTAGGTATTAGATTGAGCAGATTGAGACCGAAGTCAGGAAGATCAGGTAGATGAATGTCATGGCAGCTCAGGCAAGGAGGTAAAGGGCACAAATTCAGACAGTGGTTAACGGACAGAAAGGAACAGATGGATTTGACAGATTTAAAAGGGAGAATATAGGCTATAGTGATAGATTTAGGGGAAAAAAAAGAGTCTAGAATGATGAAGTTTCTGGGCTGGATGCCTTGGTGATTGCGTATGCCATTAACACACACACACACACACACACACACACCCCCCCCCCCCCCCCCCCCCCCCCAAAAAAAAAAAAGAAACGAAACCGAAAGTAGAAACAAAATGGATTGAAATGGATTTTTGGCTCTCTTAGGATATCTAAGTATACTCACCCATGGGCTATAGGAGTCAACTGATCTGTTGCTCAAGAGTGATCAGGGTTGGCGAGATTTGGGAGCTGTGGTCGGCTGGAAAGTGCCTCTTCAAAAGACATCTGTGGCTCACCTCACATAGCAAAAGAAGGGGGGTGGTGTGGGGAGTGTCTTTACAGATGAAGTGGGGAAATTATCCTGGGTTATGTAAGTGAGCCCTAAACGCAGTCACGCGTATCCTTATAAGAGAGAGGCAGAGGGAGGCTTCACAGGAAAGGATGATGTGAAGGGGAAACTGAGAGAGAGCTGAAGATGCCGGCCTTGAAGATTGGAGCGATGTGGCCACGAACCACAGAATGCTGGTAGCCACGAGAAACTGGAAGAGGCGAGGCAAGGCATGGATTCTCCCCTAGAGCCTCTGAAGGGAGCTGAGGCCTTGCTGATACCTTGATTTTGTCCTAATTATACCGATTGCAGATTTCTGGCCTCCAGAACTATGAGAGAATGCATTTTTGTTGTGTTAAGCCATCTAGTTTGTGGCAATTTGTTACAGCAGCCACAGGAAACTAGTACAGGAGCCAGTAGCCTAGAGTTTATAATTAAAAGTAGCAGATGTGAATGGCTTCGCCTAGAGAGGGTGCATGGAATGAGGATAGAAATATCTGGCATCATCAAGAAATAGAGTATTTTGGATTAAAGAGTATTTCAGAAACTAAATAACAAAGCCTTGTAATTATTGCCACTTTAATTGCTAACATATGCTTTTGACTGAATACTAATAATTTCCTTTGTCGTTTGTATAAAATGTGAACCATGTTGGTAACTCCTAAATATACATCCTCAGTGGGTATAGCTCACTTATGTTCTAATCTGTAACTCTGTCTCTGGTGATCTAGTGTTACTTTATATTCATTTTGCTCCAAACCAGAGATTTAATACTAGTTTTCTTTCCTATATTCTCTATTACCAGGTAATTATCAAATCCCTTCTTCAAAAGGTTTCTTAAGTCTGTCATTCTCCATGGCCTAGTCCTTGTCATCTCAGTGTAGTTTTCTGCAGCCGATTTTTATTCTCTTTACAGGTGGCCCAATCAGGAGTTTTACAGGCCAGGCTTCTTTAAATAGCACAATAAATGTGTTACTATGTCTCACAAATCTAGAATGAGTCCCTTTTGTATCCCAGTACAGTCTGGATGTCAAGGATGTCATTTGGCCCACCTATATCTCACATTATTTTATTAACACATTTCCGGACTTCGAATCAGGCCAAGTTCATCATGCAACAAATCCAGTGAACTAGGTTAAGGGATGGGCCAGCTGGGCCCCTCTAGAGTGTCTGCTTCTAAAGGTTAACTGGAAATGTAACAAGGTAGAGAAATTGTTTTCTAAAAATTCTCTGAGTATTATATGTGGCTTTGGGAAATATTTTTATAAGCTGTCTGGGTTAGAGCTTGAGACCACCGAAGGGCATATGAATACTGCCTGCTGAAGTGGGCAATGCTGGTTAACAGCGGGGCAATGTGCTGAGTCAGGATTCCCAAGTTCAGGGCCAGAGGTGACTTGTTCAGGACCACAGAAGAGGCGTTACATGCGGTCTTCCTCCTCCTCTCTGCTTTCCCTTCTCCCTCAGTGAAACCTTTAGGCTTCTTTTTGAGTAAATATCGAACACGTTTGGTCTGGCCTTGAATTTACTTGGTTCTGTGCTTTCATTTATAAGTTTGGATTTTTTCTTGCTTAGACAAATGTGCTTTTCCTTTCTCTGAAATAGACTTTGGTCCAAGTGTGTTGACATTTATGGTTTTGTAATTAGAGAAAGCTCCTACTCTAATAGGAGCAGGTGAGTCTAGTTTGGACCTTCAGGTGTTTGGAGGTTTTGGATAGGTATGGGGCACACAGTCTCAGGGGTGAAAACGTAGGTATTTACAGTGGTTTGTGACTCTCCAAAACTCAGAGGTACCTTACAAAGTATCTCACCTTTTTAGAGTTAATTCCTCTTGTTAGGGAAATAGCGAATTAAAATCAATTAAATTTATTTAGAGAAGTTAATTTTAGTTAAATTTAATTTTACTTAGAGTAGCGATGATGAAAAAATTGAGAAATGCTGGTGTAGAGAAAGGGATAAGATGCTGTTGCTTTTATATTTTATGACAAGTCTTACTGAATTTTTAAAATTAGCAGTCCTTTTTATCAGTCATTACTTATTAGCAAAGCACTTTGCTGAGTTTCATTGGAGACACATAATTGTCATATCTAGTGATAGAAGTAACACTAACAGTTGTATCTTGTGTACTTCCCATTTGTTGATTTTGATTTACTGTCTGTGCCTCCAAGAGCTTGCAAAATAGGAAGTATAAACAGCAAAAGAAGTGGAACGTGTTTTGCCTTACCAGCACTGAGTTGCAAATTTAAACAAGTTATTGTTTGCCTTTGAAGTTTAAAAAAATATAAACAACCTTGTAAAGTGAGAACATTCAGGCATAGTTGATAAGTATAAAAAGGTAAAATTTTTTTGAAAAATGATTTGGGAATATGTATCATGAGCCTCAAAAATGTCCTTTGACCTGAAAATTTGTTCTAATGAAGTAATGTTAAATAGAGAAAAATTTGGGGTAGGGGGGGTACAATATACGTATAAGTGTTATTTGGTGATAGGCCCAAATTATAAATGATGGTACCTTTGTAAGACGGAATATATATATAACCATTAAAAAGAATGCTTTTGAAGATTTACAAGAATATAGGGAAATTTTTATTGTATAGTTTCTAAAAGCAGTGAATACTTTTTTTGTATGCTTATTAATGTCTCAGCAGTACTCAGCTCTCTCGACCATCCCCTCCCTCAAGCAGTCACCCTTCTCAGCCTTGGGTGGTTTTCTCTTCCTTCTTTGCTGGCCGTTATTAGTCTCCTTTGCTGCTTCCTCCTCTTTTTGTTCTGTAAACGTGGGAGTTCTTCAGGGCTTGTCCTGGATCCTGGACTTTAATTTTAATTAAAAAGTTTTAAATTAACATACAATAAAATTGACCTTTTTGGGGGGGCGGGGAGGGCATACAGTTCTGTGAGTTTTAACCCATGCATGGATTTGTGTAACGATCACCACATTCAGGAAACAGATTAATTACATCACCTCCTCCCCAAAAAACCCGTGTCACACCTTTCCCTCTCCTAACCCCTGGCAACCACATGGTTTTGTCTTTTGCTCCTGGCTTCTTTGGAAAATTTGGCATAGTGCTGTGATCCATCCAAGAGGTGTGTATCAGTATTTCATTTTCTGTTGCTTAGTAGTATTCCACTGTATGGATATACCACCGTTTGTTTATTCATCTGTGTAAGACATTTGGGTTGTTTCCAGTTTGGGATATTATGAATAGAGCTGCCGTAAAATCTGTATATAGGTTTTGTAGGAATGTAAGTTTCCATTTCCCCAGCATAAATATCTAGGAGTGGGATTGCTGGGTCACATGGTACGTGGATGTTTTACTTGACAGGAAATTGCCAAATTGCTTTCTAGAGTGGCTGTACCATTTTGCATTCCTCTGAGCAATGGATGAGAATTCCAGTTGGTTATCACTTGATATTGTTAGTCACTCTGATAGGCATGTAGCAATATCTCATTGTGGTTTCAATGTGTATTTTTTAAATGGCTGCTGATATTGAACATCTTGTTATTTCTGTATCCTCTTTGGCGACGAGAATTTTTATCCATTTTTAATTAGGTGGCTTGTTTTCATACTGTTGAGTTTGAGAGTTCTTTATATATTCTGGATGCACATCTTTTGTCAGGTATGTAATTTGCACATCTTTTCTGTCTACAGCTTATCTTTTTATTATTTTAGAGAACAAGAGTCTGGTTTTGCATTTTGTTGTTTTACCTTTTATGCTTTATTTAAAAAACAGCTTTATTGAGTTATGACTTGTAGTCCATTAAACTTGTTTTAAAAGGTGTACAATTCATCACTTCTTGGCCTTTTGGCTAAGATCAAATGTAAAAAGTATACAATTCAGCACTTGTTAAATATATACGTAGTTGTGCAACCCTCGCCACAGTCCAGTTTTAGCACATTTTACCCAAAATTCTCTGGTACTAGTTTGTAGCCAGTCCACATCCCTGCCCCAGTCCCAGGCAACCACAGATCTTCTTTATCTTCTGTATTTGCTCTTTTTGGACACTTCATATGAATGGCATCATGCCATGTGTAGACTTTTAATCTGGCTTTTTTTCACGTAGCATAATGTTTTTAGTGCTTTATGGAGATAAATCCACATATCATAAAATCCACCTATTTAAAATGTATAATCCAGTGGTTTTAGTATATTCACAGAATTTTTCAACCATCAGCACAACACTTTCATCCCCACAAAAGAAACCCCATAGCCATTAGTTAGTCATTCCATGTTTCTCCCCAGATGCCAGCCCTAGGCTACCACTAATCTATTTCCTGTCTCTCTGAATTTATGAATTCTAGACATTTTAGGTAAATGGAATCACACAATATGTGTTCATTTTGATTGCCTTCTTTAACTTGGCATAATTTTTTCAAGGTTTATATACGTTACAGCGTGTATTAGTACTTCATTCCTTTGTATTGCTAACTAATTTTATTTGTCTTTTAATTGTTGGGCATTTCAGTTGTTTCTGCTTTTGACTGTTTTGAATAATGCTGTGAACACATGTTCAGGTTTTTGTGTGGACATATGTTTTTATTTTATTTTTAGCTTACTTATGTGATTATATTTGAAGTGAGTTTCTTTTAGATAGCCTGTAGTTGGATCATATTATATACATCTTCTAACAATCTGCCTTATAATTATATTTAGACCATTTTCATTTAATGTAATTATTATATATTTAGATCTATCATTTTATATATTTAGATCTACCATTTTTTTTTGTTCCTTTCCTGCCTTCTCTTGGATTATTAACATAGTTTTTCAGTATTTCATATTAATTTGTGTTTTTTGCTGTATCTCCTTGTATCAGTATTTTAGTGATTGCTCTAGAGATTTCAGTGTACACTTTGCTTTTCACAATCTATGTAGAATCAGTATTTAACTACCTCAAGTGAAATATGGAAACCTTACCATATATTTTTTTTCTCCCTCTTTATGTTATTGTTACACGTTTTCATTCAAAATCATCAAACATGTTTTAAACAACTCAAGAGTAGTCTGTCCTATTTATGATTTCCATTTCTCTTTAGTCTTGATGTTCCAGTTTCATCGTGGTATGGTTTTCATCTTGCCTGAAGAACTACTTTAGATCAGGTCTGAGTTCTCCCTTTCAACTGAGATTGTCTTTATTTTATTTCACTCTTATTTCTGAAGGATATGTTTTGTGGATATAGAATTTTGGGTTGACAGTTTTTTCTCTGAGCACTTTAGATAATATTTTCTCACTTTTTGGTTTCAGCTGAGAGATCTGCAGTATTCACATCATTGCTCCCCTGTAAGTTGATCCTGTACTTTTGTTGGGACTCTACTCTCCCTAAATGACCTTCCCAGATACCATGTATATGCTGATGTCTGCAGCCCAGGATCT